GTTGCAACTCTTCCCGCCAATAAGAATAATCCTTTAACACACGAAGCGAGGTCGACTACATGAATCCTTTTTTTCCATTGCATCCGATTGAGTGTCATATTTTTATTTAATTCTAAGAAATTAAGATCATTTTTATACAATATGCCCAAGTCTTTGTAAGTGGTCTACCTCTTCCTTTCTTAACATAAGTTGAATAAAAAATATCTACTCTCTTAACCGGTTCATCAGATGGTCGACATTTAAAGTGATCGAAACAGCTAAGAAGATTCTCTATGATTTTGTCTTATACATGAGCTACACTAACCCTTTCATGGATGTATTCATTTCACATTTTATCTATAAGTGTAAAGCCATTCATCCACATGAGAATTTTCATCTTGGCAACACTTAACTTAATTTTATGCTTTTCTTTTAAAGGGCAACATTCTGTGCAATAGAGCGTTACAGGTCTCAGCACCACCAACAACAAACCTTTAACACACTAAGTGGGGTCGGCTACATGAATATTTTTTCTTCATTACGACTTATTGAGTGTCATATTTTCATTTAATTCTAATAAATTAAGATCATTTTTTTAAACAATATGTCCTTTGTAGGTCTACATTTGTCTTTCTTAACATAAATCGAATCTAAATCATCTACTCTTCTAATTGGATCATCAGATGGTCGACTTAATGTGTCCAGACCATCTAAGATGATTCTCTCTAATTTTGTTCGCCACAAGAGCTACATTAAAAGGGTTGGTGTAGCTCTGGCTCTTGTAGCTCTTGTAAGTGGTGTAGCTCTTTGTTCCCAGATATAATCATTTCACATTTTATCTTTAAGTGCAAAGCCACTCATCCACCTGAGCATTCTCATCTCGACGATTTAAAGGCCAACATTCTATGCCATAGAGCATTGCATATCTCATCACCAACAACAACAAGCCTTTAACTCATTAAGTGGAGTCGGCTACATAAATCATTTTTCTCCATTCCTATTGAGTGTCGCTTTTTTCATTTAATTCTAAAAAATTAAGATCATTTCAATACAATATGCACAAGTCTTTGTAGGTGGTCTACCTCTGCATTTCATAACGTAAGTCAAATCTAAAACATCTATTCTCTTAATCGGTTCATCTGATCCACCACAGGAGCTACACTAACCCTTTCACGGATATATTCCTTTAACATTTTATCTCTAAGTATAAATCCACTCATCCACCTCAACATTCTCACCTTGGCAACACTTGACCTAATTTTGTGCTTCTCTTCTAAAAGCAAACATTCTATGCTATGGAGTATTGAAGGTCTCACCACCATTTTATAAAATTTTCCTTTCAGTCCAAACTGTACTTTTCTATCACACAATATACCCAGAGTATTCCTCCACTTCAACCAACCAAATTGGATTCTACTAATAACATCCCCTTTTACATCACCATAAACCATACCTTTGAGTGTCAGCAATAATATCGGAGCATCGGATATGGGGTGAGCATCAGAGCGGGAGTTGTCGGAGCTTGATCGTCAGGGCACTGGAGTCATTGGGAAGTAGGGGAGGTTTAGAGCATCAGGGATAGGGAGAGACTGAGAGGGATTAGGATTAGGACAAGTTTGGGGGCATAGCAAATTTTGGCGGTATAAAGCATTCCTTACAACATATTACAAACGGCTCAAAATCTGTACGTTATTAACATTAAAACTAAAGGCATTGCCCGTCGGTCACTAAAAAATCTCATCGGTTAATGTCTCGCCAAAAGGTGGGTTCGTAAATAACCGATTACATATGACCGTCGATTATTATGCACATATAAATGATAGTGAAATACATTAGTTATAATAGAAATTGTCAAAAACTTATCTACTATTCACAAGAAATGATATGTCATATTGTTATGTCGTCGAAAATAACTCAACGCATAAGCGGTTGTAAAACAGTCGGAAAATGGAGCATTTTTAACGATAAAAATATAAGTTGTCGGTTATAATGTTTTTTCCTATAGTGTAAAAATGGGCAAGATAAGTGTTGGTGATTCGACATCAGCTTCTTAATTCTTGTGGAGGCTAAACTCTTGAAACTTTCAAAATCGGTACCTAGGCAAAAGGTCAAGCACCTAGGCATCGAGTTATTGAGAAAAAAATTAGATTCAATCTAGCTTATGTACTAAATGTGAGCGCCCTCTAATGCTCAACTTGCATCATATGTTTTTTTTTTTGGATGGTTTCAATCACTACTTCTCATTTTATTCATGATGTTCCTACAAAATGGAGTTCATCTAATAAGAAATAGTTTAATAAGTACAATGATTTTATTAAAATTACATACAAAATAATTTGTAAAACATGAAAATCTACATAAGAATAATGCTACTTAAATTATAATTATCAGCTATTTCAAATTAATTTAAAGGTTTAAATCAATTAAAATTAAAGTACATTTGCGAAACTTTTTAAAGTCCTTATTTATACATTCATTCATGAATTTGCTACTACTATGTAACCTTTGGTTGGTTCATTATAGTGACTCACCAAATTGTGGATATCTAATAGTTTATAAATTTTTAATCTAGTTGATATTGAATTGAAACTAAGAATAAAGCTATAAAAAATATGAAGTTGGGGAGCAAAGAATTGTTCAAGTTGATAACAAATCAATATTTTTGTCCAAGTAACATATTGAAGTGATTTACTTATAGTCAAGAGGTCATGATTTTAAGCCATACTGCCATATTGGAGAACACTTCTCAATTACTAGGTATGCTATGATGATAAAATTGTTAGACATTCAAATGAAAGTGATTGACTTAAAATACAATTTAACATAAATATTCATGATAATTTTAATAAATATTTTCCAGATATTAAATAGAGCTCAGACACGAAAGAAGATATAATTTGTTTAAAACAAAAAAAAAGAATATTAGTCCCAAATTGAATTGTGGCCATTCAAAATTTGGTAATAATGATAATATCAAATCTTCACACTAATTAATTTTTTACTAGTTAAGGTGGAGATGATTAAGTTTTATTAAATTTTACAACTTATATTGATTATTATGATGTTAATGTTTTTTTACAACTTATCCAATCTTCACACTAATTATTATGTTGTTAAGACAACTTATATCAAATCTTCACACTAATTCATAATGTTTTTTTACTAATTAATTTTTTACTACTTATATTGATTATTATGATTATTATGAGTTTTAAGTACATTTTCCATATGAAAAATATTCATTTAAATGATGTTAATTAGTTTTGTTATCATTAAAGATTTATGATTGTGTATGAATGTATAATATCAAGTCTCCCAATGAAAGATCAATATAATATAGTAGATGATGAAGTGGATGGTTGTATCTGATAATATAAGCCTACAAGAAGGATAAGAAAATGGGGAATAAAAAAACATTATGAAAAAATTAAAACAAATAAAATTCATAAATATAGTCAACATGAATACTAGAACTATCATAAGAGAATCAATAAGGATCCTTGCAATTAAACATGTATACAAATGGTTGATGTTATGCAAACTTAATATAGTTTTAAGCTTAAATATGCTAAATTTTAATTTATATCCAAACTATCAACTATGACAGAGATAATGGACAAAAGCCAAAAAGATAGCCATTAGTTTGAATAATTTAATTTTAATAAATCAATATACATCATCATGCTTTTAGTAATATAAACACATTTCAATAAGTGTTTTGCAAATACTAGATAAACCGTGTTTGGTGTTTTATAATAATTGGTAAACTAAACAGTTCAAGTCGTAAAAAAACTATTTCTATAAATGTACACAAAAGCGGGCAAGCAAAATAATTTAGAGTGCATTAAATTGCCTTTTGGGAGAAGAAACTACATTATTTTTTCGTCGTGATATCGAATTAATGGTATTGAACTTGTAGCTAAAAAATTATTTTTTTCTCAACATTTTCTATGTATTTTTTCTGTTGAACAACGAATTAATGCTAGAATTAAGATGCAACTTTAATTTTAATTTTAATTTGGTTCCAAATTGGAAGCTAGAAGTCATGCAAATGAATGACCTATCAATTTACACAAATATGTTGATGCATGGGATAACATCCACTCATACCTTATGCAATCAACATTAAAATTCAAGGGACAACAATTATTTTATTGCAATATTGGATTACTACTCTCTATCCTATTTCTTATAATGCTTCACTCATTCAAGATCCTCTCATAATATCTGTGTTTTTCGTTGCTCCTCTTAACTCATTCTCCTAACTTTCCATACATTTAGTTGCATGTTCTTGTATTGTCTTCAGTCAAGCAGAATGTGATGTGTCCTAAAAGAAACATTGCCTATCTCGAAAGGTAAAAACAGATCTTAAAAGATAGTAGTGACATCCTCTTTCATTTGAGAAAAGTTATTATCTAGCTCTTATGTTTATATTTAATACATTGGAAATGAATGTTTCCACAAATAGAAGTATATACATAATGCATAAGCAAATCTTATAAATCCGAATTTATCAAATTCAATAGAGTTAAATCCTGTAGACTATTCGACATATTTGTAAGTTAATTCTATAATAAATCCTAAAAAACCATTTGACAAATTAAAAAAAAAAAATAGCATAGTTTATCAGGATAAACTTTCAAAGATAAAGATTAAATAACAAAAAAATAAATGAGTTTCTAAAGCATGAAAGTGCATAGAAAATATGGATTTAAATTAATTAATAATTAATTATACCAATTTATAAAAAAAATTTGAAATAATTATTTATTAAACAATAATTTAACATTAATCAATTATTAATAATATAAATTAAAATTTATTAAATAAATAAAATTTTAAATACTTTTATTCATTATTTAACTATTTAATAATTACATTTAAATCTATCTAAATTATAATTAATTTGACAATATAAATTAATTATTGATTATCATTTATTAATCAATAAAATTAGTAAATTAACTTAAATAAATATTAATTAAAACCACCATCCCCCTCCCAAAACCCTTGCTGATGTCCCTCTGCCCCACGGTTTCGCTCAAAACCATCGCCTGCGTCAACGAACCTTTGCGATACAGTAGCCATTAGAGTTAGCTGGGAAGGCATCGAAGGGATCGCAGCTTACAGCGAACACAGAAACTCCCATCTTTCGCATCCTTTCCCTCCGCTCCTACCGGAAACCATTGTAGAAGGTAAGCCTGTTCTCGCCATTTTTCATCTTCGCTTGTCGCGGATTTACTAATCCGCCGATTCCTATGATTTAGGAAATCCCGGATTTATCAGGAATCGGCGTCATTTTGGCTTTTATGGGAGCTCAGGACTCCGTCTGGCAGGGTTTAGCTTAAATCCTGCGTTTTTTGCCGTTTGGCAAGATATGTTTTTTGATGTTTGGCAGGATTTAGTGGGTAAATTCTGCTCAAATCCTGTTACCAAAAAGCCCCTAGATATGTAAAACGGTATTCTTGGGGTGGCATGTAACAGCAAATAAGAACAGAGAGGAAAGCAGAAAGAGCAGAACTTATTTGTTATATGAGTTATACAAACTATACAAGGCCTGTCCTATCTATTGATTAAAAAGGATAAGAATCAGGCCAGATCAAATCACAGCTAAGTGAAAGCAAACTAGACCAAAACGGTTCAATGTCCAAATGGGCCGAACCCAACACCAAATAAGTACATTAACATCCCGTTCAAATTGATGAGCTTTGTCGAATATAGTCAATTTGTCGCGAAGAAACTTGAATCTATAATTGGGAATAGAGTTGGTGAAGAAATCCACAAGCTGATCAATAGTGTTGACGTGATGACCCGTAAGAGCTTTGTTTTTTTATGCATTCTCGAATATAATGACAATCAATCTCTATGTGCTTACTGCGGGCATGAAAGACCAGATTATTGGCAAGAGCGATAGCAGAGGTATTTTCACAGTAAAGAGGTGTGGAAGCGAAATGTGGAATTTGAAAATCCTGAAGTAGACATTTTAGCTAGAAAATTTCGGTCGCCGCTGTGGCTAAAGCACGATATTCAACTTTGGTAGAGGAGCGAGTGATTGTGAATCTTTTTAACCTTATGGGAAATAAGTATAGATTCAAAAAATATGCAGAAACCAACAGTCAAATTCCGATAAGTAGGATCAACGACCCAAGCAGCATCAGCGAAGACAATGAGGTCTAAGTATCCTCGAATAATTGGTATGCCAAGGTGAATGGTGGCCTGTAGATATCAAAGAATATGCTTCAATTGTTGAAAACTGTGTTGTGTTGGTTGATGCATTGTTTGACTAGAGTGATTCACAACACAAGTGATATCAAGGCGTGTGAGAATTAGATACTATAAGGAACCAATCAATTTACGATAAAAAGAGGGATCATGAAAGAAAGTGTGAACAGAGATCAAAAGACTTCCTGGTGTTGGTGAGATTTTGCACAGATTTAAATTTAGTCATTCCTGAAGCATGGAGAATTTGTTGAGCGTAAGTTGCTTGATCGAGGTGTACATTGTAAGAGGTATGAGTAGCTTGTATGCCAATGAACTTGGAGATAAGTCCCAAAGTTCTCATTTTGAATCCGCTATGTAAGCTTTGAAGAAGAGTATCAATAGTTGGATTGTCATTTCAAGTTATTAGGATCTTATCCACATAGATTAGAATATAGATATGATTATTTTTGGAATGGTAGCCTTAGAGAGACGGATTAGTTGAGCTAACTTGAAAGTGAAGAAGCTGAAGATATGTAGTGAGAATGTGATTCCAATGACGAAGTGCTTGCTTAAGTCCGCAAATAGCCTTTTTGAGTTTACAAACAAAAGTAGGATAAACTTGATCAAGAAAGTCTTAAGGTTGCTGCCTGTAGGCACTCTCTAGTAGATTTCCATGAAGAAATACATTGGAGACATCAAGTTGAAGAATTTTCTACTAGTAGGTAGTAGTTATGGTGAGAAAGACTCTAATTGTAGAGATTTTTGTCACCAGGCTGATGGTTTTAAGATTGTCTTTGTCTTCTTATTGTTTGAACCCCTGAGCCACAAGACGAGCCTTATATTGCGCCATTGTCTCGTTTGAATTAAGTTTGGACTTGAAGGTCCACCTGCAACAGAGAACGTTATACTAAGATGTGGGAGGTACCAATTCTCAGGTCCCTTGATTTTGTAGAGCTTGAAATTCAGGAGATATTGTTTTTTTCTAGTGTTCATGTTTAACAACCATAGAGTATGTAGTGGAATCATGATTAGTTTGATGTATAAGATTGAGAATTTGACGAGGTTTAATGTTGCCAGTTTTAGTTATAGTGAGTATGGGATGTGATGGGGGAGGAGTTAAAGGTGCAAGGGGTGGACCAGAATGTAAGGAGAAAGGGAATGTGTTAGAAGCTGGAGCAGGTGAAACGGCGTGGACAAGTGATAAGCTTTGGTCCGTGGCAATAGGAATTGAGGAGTTATGTATGGGGAGTGGAGGGGCCATGTGGTTAGGAAGTTGTCAGAAGTATGAGTTGGTAATAGAGTAGTGGAGGGAACTACTAGGAGAAGAGGTATGAAGGACATGAGTGGGATATAAGAGGAGGCATAAATTGATTTGTGCTGATAGGACGAGACACATTCATTAAATGTACCATGACGGGATATATATACTTTATTGGTAGTCATATCAAGACATTTATAGTCTTTTTGGGAAGGAGCATAGCCGATAAAAACATATTGTTTGGATGGATGCTTAAGTTTACGATTAAGGTAGAGCCTGAGCCAAGAAAAGCATTGACAATCAAATATTTTTAAGTGTTAATAAATCGGTTGTTTATGGAATAATTTTTCATATGGAGATTTGTATTGTAATGTTTTGGTAGGCAAGCGATTAATGAGATAGCATATAATAATAAAGTATCAACCCATAGATGGGTTGGTAGATAAGCGTCATGCAAGTGGGTGTGAATTGTTTTTATAGAATGTCTATGCTTTCGTTCTGCAACACCATTTTATTCGGGGGTATACAAACATGTATATTTGTGGTCAATGCCAAGTTGAGCGAGATAAATATTAAATTTAGACTTGTAGTATTCGCCTCCACCATCTGTTCTAAGGATATTTATGTCAGAGCTGAATTGATTTTTAACAAGAGCTTTTAATTCCTGAAATTTAGTAAAAGTATCATCTTTATGTTTACGCAGATTGACCCACGTAAAGCGAGAAAAGTCGTTAATAAAAATGACAGAATTTATAATGTTGATAAGAGGGGCAGGAGAAGGACTCCTGACATCAGAGTGAATAATTTGCAAGGGTGCAGTAGCTCGAATACAAGATGTGAAGAAAGGTAATTTATACTTTTGGACATATTACATGAATTACAAGTTGTTTTGGGAATAGCATGTTGTAAACTAGAGGTAAAACGTGTTGAATATGATTGTGGGGATGCCCAAGTCGCCTATGCCACAGATTTGGAACATTCTGAACAGATATGTGAGCAAGATTTGAGGGAATGTTGATGTCTGCCAGAGGAAATTGAATTGAGTATAGTCCTTGAATGTAGGGTTCTTTAAGAAAAACTTTGTTGATCCTGTACATCCTTAATAGAGTAACCGTTAGCAATAGAAGTAATGATGCCAGAATTTTACATAGTTAACTTATGAACCGAAAGTAGATTATATGCTAGGTTAGGAACATGATGAATATTGAAAAGCATGAGCTTATGAGTTGGAGTAGGAAGTGGTCCTTGACCAATATGAGTAATAGGAAGTTGTTGACCATTTCCAATTTATATAGAAGTGTCACCTTTGTAGTTTTGGACACTGCGAAATTGATGTGCGTTGGCGGTGAGATGTTGAATAGTACCACTGTTAAGATCCATTGTTGGTCTAAGTTGGACATTGAATCAGAGATAAGAGCTGTAGTGGGTTGATAGGTATGATCAAGTCTGTGCCAACATTTAAATGCTGAGTGCCCAAGTTTGTTACATATTTGGCAAGTATGTTGTTTTTGCAGTTGTTAGAGGGCTCTTAAATCCTTCAGAGGGCTGCCCTTTGGAAGAACTGGATTTGTTCTTATAGGGATTGAAAATTTGCTGAGTTTGGTTAGATGAGGTAGTAGAGTGGCCCTTGTACCTGTTGCGGTTTGAAGCGGCCAATGCAATAGTGTTTTGAGGAGGAGCTTCTTTGAGGGCTTCTTGTGCCAAGGTGAGTTCCTCTCTACATAGAAGGGTATAGAAATCATCCAAGCTAATTAGTTGGAGATGAGTGTGAATGGATGCCTTGAAGGCGTGATAGATGGGAGGCAAACATTAAGCTTATAAAGTATTTTGTCCTCGGCCTCAAGAAGTACTTCAGTTGTGGCGAGAACGTCAACTTTGTATTTGATGTCAGAAAGATATTTAGTCATAGTTCGATCTCTTTTTGATACAATGTGGAGTTCGTTTTTATGTTGGAGAATACGAGATCAATTGGAGGACTAAAGTCTTCGTTCAATAGTATTCCAAACCTGAGCATTGTTTTCAAGATTAAGAAGATATGGTAAAATAGGTGGTAAGAAGACAGATTAAACGGCAGCAAGGCGGTGTTGATCCATAAAGATTCATTTGCTATAATCAGGATTTGGTATATTAATTCCTGAGGAACCTTGGACAAATTTATTAGGACAGCAAGAACCATCAATAAATTCGTCGTACCCATTGGCATGGAATAATTTCAGCACTTGTGCCTTCCAAATGGGATGATTGTCAGCGGTAAGTGTCGCGGAGACGACATTTTTAATAATGCCCAACAGAAATTTCAGTTGGGTAGGGATTGGAATATCCGCCCGTGGGAAGAGAGTTGCTTGAGTTGTTGGTCATCTCAACATTAATGGAAGAATTGGAAATGGTGCTCATGAAGACAACAGGTGAAGAAAAGAATAAAGAAAGGTGTGGAGAAAAATATCCGCAGATTTTTTCTGAAAGTAGATCAGAAAGTATAGATGCAAGATATTCTTGAAGGCAAGAAACAAAAATGAGACAGCCAACAGGAGAAAAAAAAATAGCCGGAGGAATTGCACCTTTAGGAAGAACACGACAGGAGGACTAAGCAGAAGAGCTCGCTGAGAAAGGGAGGAGCAGCGAGGCATGCGGAGAACTTGCTGCGGGGCAGGTTGCTCTGATACCATGATAGCAAATAAGAACAGGGAAGAAAGCAGAAAGAACAGAACTTATAATTAATTGAGTTATACAAACTATACAAGGCCTGTCCTATTTATAGATTACATAGGATAAGAACCAGGCCAGACCAATCCACAGCTAAATGAAAGCAAACTAGAACAAACCGGTTCAATGCCCAAATGGACAGAACTAACACTAAATAGGTAAATTAACAGCATTATGTAAATAGGTAAATTAACAGCATTATGCAAATTACCTTTTATTAAAGTAAACCAGTAATAACTCTTTTCTAATCATTCTAACCTGCTTATATTTATTAAACTTTAGTGAATCAGGGTTTTAGTGACAACCAAAGCGGATGCGTGCTACAATATCTTGGTTTTTGGTTCATCTTTCTTGATTTTCCTTCATTGCCTTGTTGTCACAGTGGATGGAGTCTGATCTAAGTTCCCTTCGAATAACGTCTCTTGACGAGGAAGGACTAGAAGATGAAGGAATGGAAGATTTTGGCATGGGAGAACAGGAAGATGATGAGGATGATGAGGACGATGAGGCAGAGGTCGAGCTTACTCTAGGATTTGTTGAAAAGCCCAAGAACCCTTGTCTGCTTCTCCGTCATCTTTTTCCCAGCAAGGCAGGAGGCGTCCCTGTAAATCCTTTGCCCGCAACAAAGCTTTGTTTTTTTACTATTCTTTTCTGCTCCCAAATTCTTTGGTAACTCTTCCATTTACCTGCAAGTCTCATTCCAATTTCAACATATCCAGGCGTGGCTGGACCCGTCGGATCTTCCTTCCGAGAAATCTTCCACGTGTGGGTTCTGCGGGGAGCCACTTCAATTCCTTCTTCAGGTTATAGCTGTTTTTTAGACTTTACTACCTAGGAATTGTGTGATATTTATGTAAAATTTGCTTTCTTTTTTTGTTTTCTGATTATTCTTGAATGATTAAGTGGTGCGAAGTTTAGAGTTCTTTTTTGTAGATTTATGCTCCAATTTCTGACAAGGAGTCTACTTTCCATCGGATGCTCTATGTCTTTATGTGCCCTTCGATGTCTTGTCTGCTAAAGGACCAGCATGAACAATGGAAGCGCAATGAGGAAAATCCCTGTAGAAGGTATTCCAGGCTTCATGTTGACTTAATTTTGAATGTTTAACAGACCCCCTTTGAAATTTGCATCCTTCATTATGACTAAATTGACTAAGTTATGTTTGATCTTTTGGTAATTATTCTCTACAAGCGTGAAGATTTTCCGTTGTCAGTTGCCTAGATTGAATCCTTTCTACTCGAGTGAGCCTCCCAAGCATAACTGCACTGACAAACCTATCACGACTGGAGGTAATGTACATAAATGTATTTAAGCTATCACTTAATCATTGCAGGGGATTATCAGTAATTCTACCTTTTTTTTTCTTTTTGAGAAAAGTGTCAAAATGGTCCATGACTCTTTGCAATGGTCATTTTAGTCCTAGAGTCTTCAAAAGTGTCAATTTGATCTCAAGATTTTTTAATATGGATTAAAATAGTTCATAAAGAGGACTATTTTACCCTCCAATTAAGAGAGTATGGGGACAAATTTGTCTCTTTTATGGGCTCTGGGATTAAAATGTTCCCATGCAGAGAATTGCAGTAGTATGATTCTTAGATTTTATTCCCTTTGTAAATGCTCTCTTACACGATAAAATCTCATTAATGCTGTTGCAGTTCATGCATCAAAACGCTTAGAGACAAGCATAAGATCTGAAGTTCTATTATTCCAACGGACTTATTATGAGTTTTCCTTTAAATTTAGGGTCATTTACATACATAGCACACAATTCTTATTTATTTACCAATTTCACACTTAAAATTTTCATTTTTTACACATATTGTACTTAAATATTTAATTTGAGGTAAAAATTAGCACTATTACCAATTTTTAAAAGTGCCAATCTCACACTTAAAATTTTCATTTTTTACACATATTGCACTTAAATATTTAATTTCAGGTAAAAATTAGCACTATTACCAATTTTTAAAAGTGAAGCACACTTTTCATGCATAGGTTTAAAGCACCAAAGTGTTATGCCTGTAAAGATGAAAGTTTAATTGTGAGATATGTAAATACATAAGAATTGTGTGTTATGCTTGTAAAATTTCCCTTAAATTTATTCTATGACTCTTTTGACAGCTCCATTGTGTTGTTGGTGTGGGTCATGGAAAGGGGACAAAGTGTGTGGTAGCTGCAAAAAAGCTCGCTACTGCTCTGCGAAACACCAGGTTAGCCTAATGCTAATTTCTATTGATTTCGTATTTAAAGTTACATGTGAACATTGTTGATATATGTCACTGCCCCTTTTCAGTCGATGCATTGGCGGTTAGGGCATAAAATCGAGTGTTGCAAGCTAATGAATTCGTTAAAATCTTCTGCATCTCGCGTCGTTAATGGTAAATCAATACAAGCAACAGAAAAATGTAAGCAAACAGACTTTCATGCTGAAAACTTGGGGCTTTTACATACATACCACCAAATTCTTATATGTTTACATATCTGACGCCTAAACTTTATTTCTTACAATTTTATCACCCAATTCTTTCATATCACATAAAAAATACCACTATTTTAGCTTGTAAATAGTGAAATATACTCCATGCATAGGTGGTGCATATATTTTAAAATTGAAGTTTATCTGTAAGATATATAAATACATAATAATTGAGTGGTATGCATGTAAATCTTCCTTGAAACTTTTTTATTTTTGAAAATGGCCCTCGTGTTAACTATTGCAGATGCCAGCAATAGCTTATGGCCTGAATTTGAGATCATAATTGAGGAGGAATGCACAGTTGATACAGAAATTTCTGAAGATAGCAGATCTCTTTCCTCTTTGGCACTTACAAGTAGCAGAATGGATGAAACATATCAACTTTTATCTGACAAATTTGAGGTATTGGGTCTGCATTGATGAAAATTATGGATATTTTTCTTCTGATAATGGGAACTTCAAGAGTTAAATGGATGTTCGATGCAGGCTGATACTGATAAAAAGGTTTGGGCATCATTTCAAGAACGCATTGCTAAAGCTCCTGAGCAGGTGTTGAGGTAAGTCTGCTTTGATGTTTCTGTAGATATTTCATAATTTTCATATTGAGTTAATATTCATCATATTTTCAGTTTTGAGGTGTTTATAATTTTAAGCAGATTCTTAATGAATTTATTTGCCAATTTTTCCTTTTCAACTTCTGGTAAATCCTTCTTTGAGAATTTTAATAGGATATTTTCAAACTGTTTTTATCAGAATGCTATTAAATAAGAATTTTGTTTGTATTCACTAAGTTCTGCCAACCAGTGCCTCTATCTGATTGTTTTTTATATCAAAAAATCTTTTATTAAAGAAATTTGCTAAGACAACCTCAAAGGCTGCACCTCAGTTTGAAAAAAAATAAACTCATCAACGTTAATTTAATATTTACAACCGCACAACATAATCCACCCCCCAAACAAAGTTAACTTGTTTTTAGGATTTTCTGAAGTAGGAACATACAACACTCAAATATAATAAATCAAATGAATATTATAATCTCTCCAACTGCCATAACGGCAACATCATTAGTTCATAACTGGCATAGTAAATAAACACAGAGTTCAAACAGAATTCACAAGTATCTCACTTGGCTTTACAGAATAACTGTGAAAATTGTACTCATAAAAGTTATACGCTTAAAAGAATAGGACTCTTATATAGAACTCGTGACCAACATGTATATGGACAGAAAATAATGCATAAACATTTTTTATGTTATGTTCTTTATATTTAAATAGCTATCTTTCATATTAGCTTTTATTTTCAGGAATGCATTGAATGTTTTGACATAGCTGAAAATAAAAGGAATGATTAACCCTAGGTACTATCTATTCCTAAGCAGTGACAGCCACTATAAGTGGTAACCAATGGCTTGTCTCAAACAGAAAAGTTGTGCGATCTTGAAATTTTGCATGCTTTACGCTGACTATGGAAACTAGATATGCATCCTGTTGTCATTTAAATACCCTAGAAACTGCTAGGTTTTTGTGCCATCTTTTAAAAGTTACATCCTCATCCTCTTTAGCTCTATCACAATTACTTGTGGTGGGATTTATAAATCCACCTTCCTATGTGTTCTTATTGACTTCTACATAAGATCCTTTACTCCATTTTGCAAATTCCTTGCAAAATGTTAACTTTGGCTAACCCCTTTTCTTTTATAATTCTTTTATATTAATACTAACTAATCTCTTTATCGGTCCATCTTCTATTTTTTTCCATCCAAATCCAAGCAATTTCAGTTTATTTTCATTCATGTTAACTTCATTTGGTGCTACATCTTTCATTTCTCGAGTATAATATTTGCACTTTCTCTGTTGCCAACCATTTGACTTAACATATATATAACATAACCTAATATTAGTTTCATAAAAGGCTACACTACATATTATCCAAGCCCATTTCTCCAACTTTACCATCTATCTTCAATTTTAAAAATTGCAACCTCATTTGTCCTTATTTGTTATACAATAGATCCAGCATTCCTGATTCCTATCACATATGAATATTAGCTGTCTTTGAGCAATGTTGAATGATAATGCAGTTATATAAACTAACATCAATGCTCAATTCAAGAACTTTTTATGCACTTATTTCTTTTTTACCATATTTTTTTAGTTTCTAGTATTTTTTTCTGTTATAGTCCGTTCTACTAACTTTTAATCCAGTCGCCAATGCATGCAGTTGCTCAATGATCCTAAGATTCATATAACTCCTAAATGCATGAATTACACGTCTTCTAGTGCTTCATTGTTAACGTTGGGCACAAGACCAACACAATTATAAACAATATGCGCAGTGTAATAGGAACCTTGCATGATTTTGTCGCCCATCATTGTAAAATGCAACATGATTATTATGCTCTCTCTGGTCCTCAAGGAAATATCTTCCCGTATATTCTTTTCTGCTGCCAATTGTTTTGCATCACTAAACAATGAGAATTAATTTTTTCTTTTTTCTTTTCTCTACTTACCTCATTTGAAACTTGTTCAATTCAAATTTTTTGCCCACTTTGAAAAGGCTGCAATATACCCTTGCACTCATTAAACATTTCTAGATGGTTTCTCTTACCATTTCTGCGATCTTCACATATCATAGCATCGTACATCATACATTACGATTGTCTTTGTTAGCCCATATCAAGGGTGAAATATCTTTCCATTTTCTCTTTCACTCCAATAAATATACCTTTATGTTTGCTGACTTGCCATTCTTTTGTTGTTTACTGGCACTCAACTCCATCATCATTCTTGTGGCATTTTTGCAAAAGTTAATGAATCATAATAATCTCATTCATTTTTTAAATGGCGTTCGAGACTTATGCCTCGAGGCTTGCTTAGAACTGGGGCGCACAAAAAATCTTCGAGGCTTGTACCTTTTTCATCTAAAATGCACGTCTTGAGGTTTTGTGCCTAGATGCGTTTGAGGCAGTGCTTCGATCAAGTTATGCAAACAAAATATATGTTATATTATATTATATTATATTATATTTAATATATCTAATAGAAGGTCTCAAAAAGATTAAAATATAGTAAATATGATTGCATGATTATGTTATTAATTTACTCTTTTGTTTTAAATTATATTGGATTTCATTTTAATTTATAGTAAGAAGAAAATTATAATTATTGAAGAATATTTCAAAGTTATAAATTAGATATAATTAGATGATAATAAATATGATGATTCTTTTGAAAATGATCAAAGCAAGGATTTTTCCACTATGGATCTTGAATGTCATGGAATATTTAAATTTTAAGTGAACATTTAATAAAATCATATTTCAAGCTTCTATTTTATATCAATATATAAGATTAAGAATTATGGTTATGTCTTTTTGACGATAATTAAATAAACATATTAATGGTTTATATCATATTTTTTAATTACTTTTAATTTTTGAGGTTTTTTTTAGCTTACGTCTCGATATTTCTTAAGGCTTACATCTATCCTTGCTAGAACAAAATGCCTCGATTCCCTATTTCGTCTTTTTAAATTTCGATCTCATTGAAGAAATCATTTGACACCACTTATACTGATGGTCCCTTGGAGCTTGTTGAATCCACACAAGCAACTTGACCCTTAGATTTTTGAACTAACGTAGTTTGAATAGTTCTACTATTGAACTTTTTGAACTAATGGAAAGCCTACTTAGTCCTTGAACTTGTTGTGCCTTTGTGTGTGTGCATGCATATATTGATTTGACTATTAGAATTTCTCTCTTCAGTTGGTAGGCCGGCCTTTAGGTGTGCTGAGTTGTGGTAATTTTGTCAATTTTGTATTTGATCTTATTGAACTAATAGAGGGGTTTGACTTGAATCTTTAACTTACGGAGTATGAATATTTGTTTGTTTTCTACGAATACTATTTCTTTTTATTTATTTCATAACTATTCCCTTGAGTTTATTGAGTCAAGAAAGAAAATTTTTTAACTTACTACATATGTTGTTTTTTTAACGTAGCTACCATTTATGATAGTCATGGGATAGTCTTTTTATATATCAAGGTTTGTGGGCTCCATCTCTGGAAACCTTTTTATCTTGAATGGGGTTTCCTAATTTATTACAATTTTTCTTTTGGCATGGTGATGGGAAATACTTGTTCTCTGGCTCATTAATACTAGTTTCCTTACGTTTGAAGATTTGGGGTTGAACGTGGCATTTTGAGATTTGATTATTCTCACCTAATTAGTTTTTAGATGTTTTGATGGGTTGCATTCCGTCTATGGTAGTAAGGTACCCAGCTCTTCAAGCCATAATAGGATGTCTTGCTTTAGTATGAGACTGTTAAATGGTAACATGGACATAGGGTAGCTCAACCTCTACAAGAGCACTTTTTTTAACTTCGAAATTGATTGAATTGTGTGGCTGATGTCCTATAGTCATACAGTACACTCACAAATTCTATTTCAACTTTTTATTTCATTTATCTAGTTTATAGTGAATTCTATTGGGCAACTTAATTTTTTGTCTTATTGAATGCCTTAACCTAGTTGTTTGCTCGAGGATTGCATATCAATTGTGATGAATAGATTTGTTTGATCTAATGCTATTTAGTGAATTTATAGATTTTGATGTTTTCGAATGCGATACTATTGTCAATACGATTTGTTGTATCAATATGATTTGTTGAGGCAGTAGACAATACATTCTCTGAAGAATTTTATGATGCTGTTGGTTTTGACTCAACTTCAGCTCACTTTCACAAATAATTAGTGGTAGTTAGGATGATCTGATGCCCCAAAGAGTGTTTAATTGGGTTTATAATATTAATACCCAACTCTCGGAAAAGCTAGGACGCTATTGTAGGAATGATAAATTGTGTTTGTAGTTTTTCTTCTTCGACCTGGCAATAGCAATGTTTCTTGGGGCTACTGATAATGTTATTCATCATTGTAGGCTAATAATATCCTGTTCTTGTAGTTCTAATTTTCATTTTTGACCATAGCTTGTCGGAATCCAAACTTGGTTCTAAGAATGAGTTGCTTGGATTTGAGTTGTGAGTTGACTATTGCCAACCCCAAAGCTTGATCTGATTCTTTTCTAGAATCTAGTTGGCCAAGAATTGTTTGTCTAAATATTTTTATTCATTAAGGCCTCTAACCAAAATGGCTAGCGTAATAAAAATTACATTATAGCTCTTAAAGCTAAGGCTGACTTCATAAGGTTTCAACAGATGTTTTCTGCATCTAATAACTAACCCTCACGGGCCGCCTAGCCTATTAACACTACTCAACTAGCCACTCATCAATTTCTCCTTGCTGCCATACTCGCTCCATGCAGAAATTTCCATTTTTTGTGTAAATCAATAGGGTTAGATGTACTTAGAAGGAGATGAATCATAACATATAAACATAGCATGAACACAGTTAGCTTAACATGAAAAATAATAACAAAAAAATAGCCATTGAGTTCAGTCACAAGATCAATCAGTTGCCAACTATGCTTTGAAGGCTACTCTAACTAAATTTGTCTAGTCATTATGACTACACACCAGAGTCCGGGCTCAATCACAATGTTGTCATCTCGGGCGCACCTCACATTTCGGTCACACGTCACACATGCCTTACAGCCCCCCAGTTACATAAGTGTCTTTTCATTCATTTATCATCAAAATAGCTCTTACAAGAACATTTTCTAGAAATACATTATGAGTTAACCTTAGTAGCAAACCACATTTAATGATTTTTGAATTTCCCCCATCTTAGGTGTTGCCAAAAATGGCGAAGAAGAATTAACTCCATTCCTTCTGCCAATCATTGCCTCTCTGCTGTTTGCTGCCACCTCCCTTGGCCTTCACTCTCATCCCACCTTGCCTATTAGCTCATAGTTTTGCCCACCGTTCCAAAAAAGAATAATCTCTTCATGCTGGGATTTACTCACCTTTTTATAAGATTTAGGGCTATTGTCATTGTTAAGCTAGCCACTGGTGGATTTTTTGTGCACTATTGTGTATTAACTGGTGGTTGGCAAAGTCATTAAGGGACAACCTTTACTCGTTTGCCGAATTATCATAACTTGTTGCTACCAATAAGGCTCTACGCCAATCAACCAAAACACATTGCACTTGCTAAGAGGCTATTTTATCCAATTATAGTGAGACAACCATAACATGGCAGTCAACTTTCTACACGGCAGCTCCTATTTTACCGCTGTGCATGTTACTTGCTTTATTCACTGCAGTGACTTATTGGCTTATGTTTTCCGCCTTAGGATCAACTTATCTAAACCTTTTTTTTTATGATTTGGCATTAACATACATACCATACCACCTAATCCTATGTATTTACATATCTAACATCTAAATTTTACTCTATACATTTATAACAACCAAATCTTTCATATCATATCAAAAATACCACCATTTTAACAGTTGAAAAATGAAATATTCCTTTTCATGCATAGGTAAGATGTCATGCGTGTAAAATTTGATGTTTAGGTGCTAAATATGCAAATGCATAAGAATTGAAGGGTATGCTTGTAAAATTTTCTGTTTTTTTATTTAACCTTGGTGCTTGTCTAGATTATGTCCTTCAATTGACAATGCCTTTTTTTGTTTTTGTTTTTATTTTTTTTTGTTTTTTTGCTGTAGAGTATTGAAAAGTAGATATTCTGTTATTGATAAAATTTTGAAGTAAACTCGCATCCTAGAAAGAAATTTTTTTTTTTCTGAAGATGAGGATCATAATTTTATTCAATTTTGTTTGAGCTTCTATTTCTCTTCATTTTTCTCCTTATTTTTGGTGCTGATTTGGGCTATGAACAAATTCGATAGCATATAAAGAAGCTTTTTATGGGAAGCTAATGAGAAGGCAAAGGTTTACGCTTGGTGAATTGGAAAAATATTTATAAACTGAAAAAAAATAGAGGGTTTTGTATTCCTCCTTTTACTCCTGGAGAGATCATTATATCGAGTATATTGGCAAAGACTTCTAAGAGATTTCTCCAGTCTGTCCTTTGGAACATTGGCATGAGAGAAATGATACATGTTATTTGAGTTTCTGCTAAAATGATGAATCTATTTGTTTCAACACAATTTCTTTTTTCTGTTTTTTTATTTAACCTTGGTGGTTGTCAAGATTATGTCCTTCAATTGACAATGCTTTTTTTTGTTTTTGTTTTTATTTTTTTTTTTGTTTTTTGGCTGCAGAGTATTGAAAAGTAGATATTCTGTTATTGATAAAATTTTGAAGTAAACTCGCATCCTAGAAGGACAATTTTTTTTTTTTCTGAAGATGAGGATCATAATTTTGCTCAATTTTGTTTGATCTTCTATTTCTCTTCATTTCTTCTCCTTATTTTAGGTGCTGATTTGGGCTATGAACAAATTCGATAGCATATAAAGAAGCTTTTTATGGGAAGCTAATGAGAAGGCAAAGGTTTATGCTTGGTGAATTGGAAAAATATTTATAAACTGAAAAAAAATAGATGGTTTTGTATTCCTCTTTTTACTCCTGGAGAGATCATTATATCGAGTATATTGGCAAAGACTTCTAAGAGATTTCTCCTGTCTGTCCTTGTTGACCTCAATTTTCGCGAGGTCTAGTATTTCTCGTAGGAGTTAGGATCTAGCCTTAGGGGTCTTCCTGCGACTATCTTAGAACCTTAGAAGTGGTGCCCGCCTTGTTTTAGTTCGACCTATTTCCGTCCTCTTTTGGAGTTTCGCGTGTGCGGTATCGACTT